GGGACTTTGGCCATTTGTTTTCTTTATACATGAAGTAACTTTGGCTTGACTGGAAGGTCCATGTTGATCCAGCAACATATATTTAACATACATGAGACTAAAAGAGAAAATAAGCATAATCTTAGTGTAATAATACAGTGTTGAGAATGGGGTGAGAATCCAATGATGCATTCCAAGAACCCTATGTTGATGGCTGGGGAGGTAGCTCAGTGGTAGAGCCCTTGCCTAGCATGCACTAGGCCCTGGGGTTCCATCCCCAGTACTGTGGGGATAGGGGTGGGTGGGGGACTCCTACATTCCTATTAGAAGTTGGTCACAACTGACAGTCCTTTCAAGGAGAACATTAGTAGTTACTCGGTCAGAGTTTCCATAAAATAAGAACTATTCAGTTCCTTGGAAATAATGCTGATAGAAAAGCATAATGTAATCTTCAACACTTTCCTTTCAGTCAAGGTGAGGAGAGGGTTCACAGAGTTGTTTCTCATAAAACCTGCCTCTATAAATGGAGGAGATTGTGCCAAATACAATTCAAGAAAAGCAATTCTACCAGGACTCTGATGAGGTGCATTCCAGGAACACAGCTCTTGAACCAGCCTGGCCAGGAGTCTAGAGAAAAGGATGACTTGCGGATTCTTCAGGAACATCTCCATGCTGGGTCCTTTTACAGTATCTAACTCTATATGCACCTGTACTAAGGGGCAAAGCTCTGGTTATAGCCACATAGATATTTAAACTAAAATAGACCCCTACCCTTCCACAAACATTAAATTGTAAACACATGGCCAATTTGAAAGAACAATTGGATGGTCTAGGTTCCAGCAGCAGCAAGGCAGGCCTTGGGCAGAGTAGCAGGCTTCCACGCTATGTCCCTGGAGGACACAGGATCTCAACATAGAGCCAAAAGCACGAGGCTTCATTGCTCCCAAGTGAATATTGTGGTGGGTCTTAGGCTTCAGCAAAGTAGGGGAATGAAACTAAGAAACAACTAAGCTCCTGGAGAGAAGAAGTTTAAAAACTCTACCACTAGCATGTCTCTGGTTAGGATGCCATTTAAAAATGAAACTCAAATAAACAAACCAGAAAATCCTTCTAAAAGAAACGAAATTCCAATCCTGAACCACTCGTAAGTATAGAGTCCTAATTTATGGAATCATAGCTGTAAAATTAATCTAAAAATGGTTTCTAGACCTACAAAATCCATGGAACATTTGGCAGAAGAAAATGCAAAACAAATCTGCAGGGACATTTTCCTACCAAGGCTCCTGGGACACCCACAGAAGCAAACAACTTCTGAAGATGAGCTCACAGAAAAATTCACAAACCACACACACACACACCCTTATGGGGAAATCAGTAGATATAAATATACAGGAAAATGTGTGCTCCCCACCCAACTGAAATAGTAGACGGGATATATGAAATAACTATCTTTAAATAATTACAAAGTTAAAAGAGGGAATAGAAAACATGAAAGATTGGGACGATATAAAAGGGGGAATCTCAACATAATTTAAATATTCAAATTTAGTAAAATATTTACATACTTATTTATTTATTTTGATACCAGGGATTGAACCCAGGCGACCACTGAGCCACATCCCCAACCCCTTTTTGTATTTTATTTAGAGACAGGTTCTCATTGAGTTGCTTAGCACCTTGCTTTTGCTGAAACTGGCTCTAAACTCTCAATCCTACTGCCTCAGCCTCCTGAGCCACTGGGATTATAGACGTGTGCCATCGTGCCCAGCACATATTTATTTTTAAATATTCAATATGATTGAAATTAAAAACTCTAAAGATGGGTTAAACAATAGATCCACATCAATGAAAGAGATGAAAGAACTGGCAACTCCTTAGAATTCAGCTCAATGAGATAAACCAATTCTAAGATATCAAATGATAGTGAGTTCAAAACTTCTCCAAGTCACAAAGTTTGTAAAAGGTAGAGCTTGGGTTGGAAGCCAGTGATCGGTACAGGGTGTCCTGAAAACACCCTCTGATCATTCACTCTTTAGGTTATTCCCCTTCTCTGCTGTATCATTCCAATCAGTATAATATAATGTTTGCATATCTCCCAAAATAAAAAAAAGCCTCTCTTGACCTATATTTTCAGTCAATTACCAATCCCATTATTCACTGTTTATCACAACCAAAATTTGTAAGAGATTTCTGCAAAAAGCTGCCTGTATTTCCTTACCTACTATTTCCTCTCCAACCTACTCCATCGATCATCCATATACCACACTATCTTATAGCGCTTCTCTGAGCTTCATAGTCGTAAATGTGATTGCCTATTCAAATTTTAAATTTGCATTGTCTTAAAAATGTAAAAAAAAAACAAGAAATAAATTATCTCCTCACAAGATATTTATTAATAACAAAGAAATCCACTGGGATAAATAACCTTAGTCAAGTAAAATTTGTCACTAATGAAATAAAGCGAAAAACAGATATGGTGCAAATCTGGATATAATTCACTGAGAAGGATACATAGCACCTCTTTGGTCCTGCTAATTAAATTTAGTTAAAAGAAAGCCTTAGACAAATATTTAAATTAAGGGACATTAAAAATGCTCTATAAATTTTTTTTAAAGGTGAGGCAATAAAAGACTATGAAAGATTTAGGAACCATTCCATATTTAAGGAAACTAAAGAGATTAAACAGACTAATACTATAGGCAATGTGTGTTCCTGGATTGGATTCTAGACCAGAAGGAAAAAAAAAAGTATTTTTCTTTAGCTGTCAAGGAAATCAGTGAGACATGTGGTGACATTTCAATGAGATATATGGATTACAGCAGTGTTAATTTCCTGATTTTTGTTAAACATACTATGGGTATTTAAGAAAATTAATTTGTAGGAAAGATACATTCATAGGGGTAACAGTCGTCATTGCAACTTATTCAGTAAACTTACAACACACATGCAGAAGGTGAGAAAGCAGGAAGGGCAAGTTACTGACACTTGGAGAACCTGGGTGAAGGGGGCACAGGTATTCTTTGTGTGATTTTTGCAACTTTTCTAAAAGTCAACTGTTTCAAAATAAATTGCATTCTGTACCCACGAGTTGTTGAGAGCCACAGCCGAAGGGGCCCCAGCAAACTTCCAGCTGCCAGCAAACTTCCAGCTGCCGACTGATGATTGGCTCACAGCGGCCCCAGCAACATCTAGCTGATTGGCTCCTCGGCCCCAGCAACATCTAGCTGATTGGCTCCTCTGCGGTGATGCTCATTGGGCTGTTTCCCTGCCCTTTCAGACCACGGAGCTGCTCATTGGGGGACTTTTTTTGGCTCCGCCCACGTGACCCAGCTAATCGGCCTCAAGAGCAGGAGGATTGTGGGAGGTGGGGAGAAGCTTGTGTGGGAGAGAGAGGCTTGTGGAAAGCCGGTGGTGGCAGTTGAGGCTCTGAGGGTTTTTCCTGAGAGGCTGTTTTGTTTGGCGTGTGTGGTTCTAAAAATAAAGTTAGTTTCTTTTGACAAGTGGCTCCTGATTGTGCCCAGCCAGACTGCGGCAACGAGTAGAGCAAACAGTGTAAGGAAGTCCCATGGCCCTGTCATCTGGCTTCAGTCATTACCAATTTGTGACTAATCTTGCTCCCTCTCTACCTGCACCTTAAGATCCACAGGTGCCTCAGTCCTGAGGCATGCTCACTACACGGCTTTGCTGTCAACCTTGTAGCAATCCTACAAGAGGAAATGAAGGACAGGGCAGCTGAAGCTGAGAGCGCTTCGGAAACTTGCCCATGTCCACGCAGGTAGTGAGAACGTCAGGACTGAAACCCCAGCTTTCCCACTTAGGTTCATGGACCATTTCACTGCATACCTTATTCCAAAACAGCAATAGCAGGAACCCTAGTGCTATGGGCTCTCGGGAGTCTCCTTTCTCTGCCTGAGCCTGTGCCACCATCTCCTCCTACACTGCCCAGGGTTCTCAGGTCTTGAGGCCTGTAAAGATGCCAAGAAGTCCCACCACCTCCCACATCCCCAATGGCTCAAATGCTACCTTGTGGGTGGAGATGACTCTGCCTCTTGTCATCTCAACCTTTCCAAGGAAGATGTCCTGGATCTCTCCTGAGGACATAGGCCTTTACTATTTTGACTTTATGGTGCAGTTAACTCTTTATAATCCCTCTCTGCATCTAAGAAGTGGGTCCTTGATGGTGTATGTGTATGTGTATAATACCTTCTTCATCCATTAGGGTCCTAGTACCCTCAGTTATTAATTTGGAGAGAATTAAGAGACTGTTTACAAAGATGTGAACACAGTTTAGGAAAATGAAATAAATACACTTGCCTCCCTCCCTCTTTGCTCACCCCCACTGTCCTCCACCTGTTGACCACCTCCAGGCCTGAATAGCTCCTGAAACCCATTGGAGTCACAGACAGGGCTGCCAGGCCACCAGATCCCCTGGTGAGGAACTCCTGTCACCTGGTCCATTCTAAACAGAAGCCAGAAGGCCAGGGAACCTGTTGGTGGAGGCCAGCCTCCCAGGGTACAGGGCAGGAGGCAGAAAGTGGGAACAGGGAGAACATGTCCACATCTTTGCATCCCCAGCATGTCACGTGCCCAGCACATTGTTGGTGTACAGAAATATTTTTAATTGAGTTGCTTAATCTTAGATGCTGCTCATTGATATGCCTTAGGAAAAAAAAAATCCCTTTTCCTTTTTTTCTGGATTTCTACAACCTGTTTAACACAATTTGAATCAGAGAAGCACCAAATATATCTATAACCCTGTTTGCAGTAGATTATGTCACCTCTGCTCATTAGTCCAGTTTATTTAGAGAGTCCATGATTGGAACCAGGGTGAGGTGCATGAGGCGCTTGCCCAGGACACAAAATTTCAGGCATCAAGATAAGACTTCAGGCATCAAGATAGATAATAGTGATCACTGAGGTTTTTGCCGCTCCCTTCAATAAATTTTACGTTTGTCAAACTATCCCTCATCTTTTGGCACCCCTGAAGTTTGCAGCCAAGGTGACTGTGTCCCTTTACTCACCCAGAATCTGTGTCCTTTGCTACAGTCTCATGGATGCCAGGCGTTGTAGCTTCTATTTGTGGCAATCGCAACCACGAGTGTATAAATCTGCTCTTTCCTTTCTGCCCTCTGTATTGCTCAGACCATAATCTGTATCACTGGTAAATAAAAGTAGCAGTAAGTCGTTTCACAGGGTTTAGCATTTCTCAATTACCCGGCCCTTTCCCTGCTCCCCTACCACCAGGCTGCCCCACAGTCTCCGCCTACCCTGAAATCCAGGGGAAAAAACAACATACTTTCTAAGACTCCTTTTTGAGGTCCCATCAAACTAGTTATTGCTGGATTTTTTTTCTGGATTAGAAAGGCACATTCAAATCAATCTACTGAGTGACTCTAAATGCTCCCCCTCCAAAAATAGAAAAGCAAAACTTTCAAAACCTCATATCCTCATTTTTCTTTCTATTGGAAAGCATATGCTGGTGCATTACCGTGGTGTCATCTCATCTCTGACAGGTTAGACTCCAAGTTATGCAAATCACTAGCCACCATCCCCAAGGCTGTCGTGACCAGCAGTGTCTTCCAAGTCAAGCCATCAGGATCTGAGAGAGCCTGGCCCCAAAGATCTCTGCACCATCTATACCTCTTCCTATGTGTCTGCCCTCATCTCTGAGAACTCTCAGCATTTGTGGGATCTTTCCAAGAGTCTTGGTCTGAAACTCTGTGCTTAGACAGAGCCTCCTTTTCATGAAAATGTACGTCCGTAGCATGTGGGAGCGTGTGACATGAATCAGGATGACTGATGGGGGCACTGCACAGCCCCTCACCAAGGAGGGTCCCAGGAGAAACCATCTGCCCCACAGTGTTGGCTCTGAATCATTTGGAACAAGATGGAACTGCTGAGCTGCTCTCTGTCCCAGCAATCACTTCTTGGGTCACTGCTCAGGCATGATGTCGAGCCAGAACAAGGTTGTAAGTTGTGTGGAGATGGCTGAATTTGTTGGGGATGTTCATATGGTTCTAAATGTAAATGCTTAAGAAAGAGAGAGAGAGGTGGGGAGAGGAAGAAAGGGAGAGGGAAGTCTTTGTTTTTTTCTACCTCAAGCCATGTATATACATATTCATGAGCTGGTGGCCACTGCATATTTATATAAGCTTGATCATTGTTTTCAGTTTGATTTGCTTCCTAGTCTTTAGTCTTAGCATGTGTTGTTTTTAAGGAAAAATAATCTATCCTTTGGTCAAGTTCAAGAACTTCTGGTATAATGTGGTTGACTATATAAATGGTTGAGAACAAACGTGAGAATAAACATGCTCAGTTTTGGTCTTATTAAACTAGTAGGGGAAAGGGATGGTTGATCAATAATTTAGTGTCTACTAAAAATATGAGGCAATATGCCCATATAATCCCTCTCAAACCATGACAGTATTAAAAATCATGTATACTTAATGACTTTTGCATGTGATGTTTGCAAACCATTTACCTTCTGAGTTATATTTTGGAGAAGCTAGTGGTAAGAGTTACGTTATTTAAGCACACACAGCTGGGTAAAAAAGAAAGAAACTGAATTGGTTGGAAAGCTGAAGGAGACTCCAGTTTGAAACTTAAAAAAAAAAAATGAAAGAAAGAAAAGAGAAAGAAATGAGACGGAGGGCTGGGGCTGTAGCTCAGTGGCAGAGCACTTGCCTAGTACGTGTGAGACACAGGGTTCGATCCTTAGCGTTGCATAAAAAATGAATAAAATAAAGGCATGATGTCCACAAAAATTTTAAAAAAAATGAAACTGAATAACCTGAAAACTATAATTGAGACTAGGTTTATTCTAACCATATTTTGAAATAATAGGATTGTTCTTCCTGTGAGGTTTGAATGCTTTAGTTTTCAGTGATTTTATATATTAAAAGGGGAAAGGGCTAGTGAGGGGAGAGTTAGAAGATAGAACAAAATAGACAAAAACAGAAGAAAGAAGCTAATGCTGAAAGAATGCCCTTGGAACTCTGCCTTCTCCTGATGTGGACCGCTACCTTTGCATTCAATTCCCACTTGAAAATCCAAGGGAAGCCTTCCAGATGAGAGAGGTCAGACAGAGAAAAAAGCTCGGCTTTCATAGCCAAATGGAACATTGTTGACTGGTTTCCCCATGTTTCCTTGGAATTACTTTGCTAACCCGGGTCTAAATAGCAGGATTCCACAGCCCTCTGGGCGTGTACTACATGTTACATGAAACCAAATGTTCAGAAAGAAAAAAAAAAAAATAGAGACTTGTGCTGTTGTGAGCATTTAATTTTCAAACCAATCCCATCATTCTTCATCAGCCACGTATGAAGTGACGGAGATAACAGTTCCTGAAGCTCCTCATGCCATGCGCTGTGTGGCTCATCTGCCTTCCGTTACACACTTGTGCCAGGCTCAGATGGATGGGCATCCTCAGCCACACCCTCTGGTCCAATTACAGTGATGCTGCCTTGTGATGCTTTTGCTCTCTCTTTATAGCACTTGAGCTTGTGCTAGGGACAGCTCCTTGATCTTTTTTTGTTGCTTTAGAAAAAGTGGAAATATTGTGTGGAGAATATTCAGAGAAGACCAACCCCCTAAATATGCTTCAAAACCCATAAAAACATGACACTTAAGGAAAAAAAAGTAAAATCAAATGAAGAAAAATACATTCTGGGTTACTTGCACCATTTCTTTGAATAGTGTTGCAGGGAATTCTAGCTGACTTTAAATTTCAAAGGTACAATTTTTAAAGACACTTAATGGACCAAGCCTTGGCTGTAGAAGGATGTATTGATTTAGACCTTTCAGCTGGATGGAAGACAAATTTGATAATGTTAAAGAGACCATCCACATTGATTTTGCAATTGGGATTCTGTTTAGACAGGCTTTGTAAATTCATGGATCTAGCCTCAAAAATAGGCACCTGATGCCAGATCTTACCATTTGCAAAGGCAAAGCCAGAGAGATGAGCCTCCTGGCAATACACCACTGGTAATTTGGCTTCTTAGGCTCAGGAGTTATACATGTGCTGTTTTATACTTGTGGAGGCACAGAAGATACTAGGTTTTCAAAAATACCATTTTGTTCAGTATGTGTTCTTCATCAAAATTGCTATTCCCACATTAATCTTTTAGTTTCCCTTGCACGATGCAGAGTAAAAATAGAAATTGATTTCAACACCTTGTATAAGCATCACACTGAAGTGCTATAATTAGAACAGTGGCTCTCAAAGTGCAGTCTCTGTACTAGCAGTGAAAGTACACCTGGGATCTTATTAGAAGTGCAAATTACTTCCTAGAACCATGGAATCACAAACTCTGGAGGTGAGGCCCAGCAATCTGTATTTTAATAAGCTCTCTAGGTAGTGCTGGTACAAGGCATAGTTTGAATAAAATCATCCTCACGACTTACTACCAATTACAGAAACAACATTATAAATTAAGGAAAAGGAAACAAGTATGCATTCTGCTGTCATATATGAATTTTTAAAAAGACCAAAAAAAAGGAAACAATTACATATATTTCATGTCTTTGTCTGCTCTCAGGTTCTGCTAGTCAGTAAGATCGATGATTCTGGAATTGCTGTGTCCAGTGGCATCTAAAACAAATCCCAGGTTCACTTCATTGAAAACAGAACTTTGAAAGGAGGGATTGTCAACTGTTTACCATTCGACTCCCAAAGAAACATTAGATCGTGAGAATAAGATGTTGCGTCTGTGTTGTTGACATTGAGCACTGGATGTTTCCTCTTTTGGGGCCGGATACCACTGATGGGATGGGGCAAGTCAAATTCCCAAAGTCATTAGTGAGGGCTTTGACTTGAAAAATGAATGTGAAGCAAAACTAAATACAAACGAATAAACAGCAAACTTTTGTTTAGATGTAAGGGGATGGAAATATTTGGGAGACTGAAGTAAAGCATAAACAATATACAGTATCATTAGCATGATTAACCCCTTCCCACCCAGGCCATTTCCATTTTAAATTAGAACTGTTTTTAACCCTTGAAATAATTTAGATCCATAAAAGTAAAGATGTAAAAATGAGGTAGAAGAGTCTGCAGATAACTCCTCTACAACTTAACAGCATGGCTGAAATAAATGTCCCTTGGAAAATTGTCGAGCGTTCACATTCCTCCATAAATCAAGTCTACAAAAAGGAAAACCAAAGGACCATTTGAGTCTGATATAATCAGTCTGTTAACTTCCTGTTAAATAAAAAAACCACAAAACAGTATATTGGGCTTTTAATGAGTGCTGGAAGTAACTTTACTAAGACATGTAATCAGTGCAGCATTAAATAAATTTGGAGACTCTAAAGCTCTCAGCTACCTATCTCAGGCTATTAGGCTTCTTTCTTTGTGGATGTCATGGGGCCACAGAGGAGGTATCTCGAGTTACTAGAGCTTCCCCGGTGGGTTTCCTGCTGCTCTTGGCCTTCAGGCTCTTGAGATGCAGTCCCCCATCTTATTTCATCCCTCTTGGCTGTTTTCAAAGGGTTTTCCCCTTTTGGTGTAGTATTTGTACAACAGTCTTTTGTTCTTTGGCAGAGAGTTGAAAGCACAATTTTCCAGGGGTTATTAATGGTTTCCAGAAAAATAGTCTCGTGAGCAACAGGAAAGAGGAAGGAGACTTTGCTGACATGAGAAGTAGGCAAGTGACAACGGTCTCCACACACATCTGCAAGCAGCAATGGTCACTTTGGAGACCATCTAAGGGCACACACTTGGAGACCCAGGAAAGCTGCTCTGGGCGATTTCCCGGACATTTCTCAAGGACACGGCAAAGAGGTACCTGACAACATGAAATGAGTATCACAAGTTGTAAATAAAAATCACAGTTCTTGTGCCTCAAAAGTATTTTTCCCTCTACTGGAGTGGGATGTGCCGCCCTGGGACCTCTCCTGGGACCCCGTGCAGCACAGCTTAGCTCCGGTTCTCATTCTGAGTTAACATAAAGGTTTTTACACGTCCTCATATAAACCCTCTGTGTTCTGACCCATCCTGATAGCCAGCACATGACCAAGAGAACAGTTAAGGCCTCTGTCACCAAACATCACTTCCTGGTCCTACCAAGGAAACAAAAACGGTGATTTCCTGGTTTTAGTGTTCCCTATTTTGAAGCATTCTACCTTCTTCAGTAACCTAGGGAAGAGGTGAAACAG